GAGATCAGTTCTACACCATCAACGCCATGGCCACCTGGCGGGTGCATGCGAACAGTGAGATGAAGGAAGGTGAAATATAGACCAAGAACAGCAGCATGTATCGAGAGGTCACAAATTGAAAAGGTCAAGTTGTCACAAGGCTGATTTACGCTGATGGCGTGATCTTGTCGATTCTTACCCCAACGAAACTGTTGAAAAGTGTTTCGGGAGTGTGGTCGTGTCCACGAAATTGAGCGAAATCTCTTTGTTTCGTTGAATAATTTTCCCGTTTGGTGTACTCGTTTCCCGGGCCAACGTACCGCACTCTGCTTTGTTGTTCCCATCGTGGCAGTAACCGTCTCCGATACCGGCAACCCATTCACAGTTCTCCACCATTTCAGCGGTAACGTCGTCATCGTCGACGCAAGAGGCGTCCGGGTCGATGCAGGCCATGTAGTCTTTGTTGCACCCCCAAGAGTAATAGTCGTCATCGCTTTGAGTCTGGAGTGGGTAGGGGCAGCACAGTTTGAGCGGGTATTTCATTTCTCAGCAAGGGCACTTCGAGTCGGGGGGGAAGGGTAGACAGAGATATTAAGCCCATGCTACATGGAACCCTCTTGCATGAGAATTTGAAACGTGGAAACGCAACGGATTTGCATCCGACGTGCAATATGCCAGTACGAACAGGTGCGCTTGATTGGGAAATCAGACCGTGTCGAGGGCGGATGGGGCACACCTACCCAGAGAGCAGAGCAACCTCTCGAACCCACACGGGAAAAAAAATCGTACCTGGCAAGTGCACTCGCAGCAGTCACCGCCGTCGTAGCCTGTGAAGGCGGGGGGTGAGGGGGGACGACAACGAATGACAACAGGAAACGAGGGACCGGACAGTGACAAGTCAGCTCGAACCCGTTGCAACGAGGGTATTGTAGGCTCATACTGTGTAGCTGAATGCTCGGGTCGTTGCGCCTTCAGCACGTACTGATCAAACTTAAGGGCGATTGCTCATCGCACAGCAGGGTTTGCGGCTATGCGCATACTCGCAAGATTGAGCGAAAGGAGGTCACTCTTGAACAATTTTTCTAAAGATGAGCACGTCACACCACCAGGGGGTACACATACCGCATTCTGCGTTGTTGTTATGCTGCGTGCAAAACCCATCTCCAATTTCATACTCCCAGCAGCGGTCGCTAGAGTAGGAGTAGGCAGCGACGCTTGACAGGAAGACCGCTGCACCCAGGACGCCCAGCAGGCGGCTGGAATGTTTTGTCATGGCTACTACGCCACGCCTCTCCACGAAGTGTGGCCTGCTTGACGAAGGCATCGCAGCGCGAATTGAACTACACGGTCAGTTAACCTCGCAACCTTGTGAGGTTTGAAGCAAAAGGCAGAAAAGTGCAAAACCGTTGTTGCTGAGACCTGGCTCGGAATCTCAGCGCAGTCGCACGAACAGGAACATTAGTAGTTGGTTGTCTTAGCGAAAGAAACGCTCCTATCTCCAAATATTCCATCACGCGTGCTGGTGTAGCTGAACACCGACGCCATCCGTGGTTGCAATCTTACTGTACCTACAAAGGATGGTGCCATGACGAATAACACAAACGCGACATCATCCTACAGAAGGATCGCGAACAGTCAGGCAAGAGTGATATGCCCGACAAAGGACCGAAGCGCAATCGACCGTCGACAGGCGAGGCGAAGCAAAGCTATCATGAGCGTACGTCCGTGGAACGAACAGGGGACGACACGCCGTGCGCCGCCGGTGTCGTGTGTGCGATTTTCGACGGAAACGGTCAACCGAAAGCGAGAATCTCCAAACGCTGGCACAAGGCGTCAGGTTTTGGTTTCACAGCCCTTGGATGTGGGCCGATCTGTAGCAGGTTTGGAGACCTAAACCCGTCGAATTTCTTCGTTGACGTTGACTTTGCGGAGGGGATCTCCACCACGCCCTCTTCCAAGTGTTGTTTGCTAGGCAAGCTGGAGGGCTCCAGGGATAACAAGGAACCCGACAAAATCAAAATTCCACGCCCAGGATAGATCAGATTGTACAGATCGAGCTGTGTATTGCTCTTTCGAAGGGTATGTTCCTTGTGATCGGTATGCATACGCCATGCAGGTGATCTGTCTAGTTTGTTTGCCCGAGGTGACCTAGAACACATGGGTGATCGGGGTATGTTTCGCTCCATTGTGGTCTGAAGGACGGTGATCGGGGTAGGCTTTTTTCCAGGTCATCTGAGCGACATCATCGGTGATCGGGTTATGTTCGGTCGAGGTGACCTGAAAGGCGTGTAGGTGATCGGGTTATATGTTTGACCGGGGTCATCTGAAGGAGATGGATGTGTGATCGGTGCAGCGCATACAGTACGACACAAAATAACATACCCACCACAGTATATCACACCCGGTGCTATTAGCTTTAGTTTTCGACCTCAATCGAGGAGCCCAAGAACAACCCCGGTTACGCAAGATAGCACACCCGTGTAATCAGGAAGCCCAAAATTATTACGTTCACCTCGGTTACAGATGACAGCGGTGGCCCCCAATCACACAAAGGATGGCCACCGGTGTACTCACGAAGGACACCCTCTTGAGTACGGGGGAACCCCCCCGTACGGAGACCTCTCCAACAGAACATGAACGTGCAGGGAAAACATGGCATCGCTCCAACTACTTGTGCTGCCTCGGCAGCTGTTTCGAAAGCAGCAGAGGGCAGGCTCGACCGATCAACCCGAGCAAGGTTTGCCGCACGACTCGGGCGGTTTTATCGCCTCCTTTGCTTGCCCCCCTCTTTAATACCAGCAGACTGCAACTACGCTCGGCAGGAACTTTATTGTAGGCAAAAAGGTGTCCGTGTCATCACCCCCGCTTGGTACCACACACCCTGCAAGTGCCACAGCAGTTCTTGGCAGGCAGTGGTATCACGTCCCCTGGGTATCGCACACCCGTCATTGCTCTCGCGATCTGCACTACTGTCACCCGGGGCTACACGAGATAACACCCCCACACAGAATACAACACCCGGCCGCTTCCGGTGATATTTTTTCCACGGCGTGTATTCGCTGGTGGTGTCGTACACGGTACGGCGGTGCCTTGCCTGGCGGGCTTGATCCAAAAGACAAGACAAAGGTGATCGGGGTGACAAGTTAGCCCGAGACGATTTGAATGACATAATGGTGGGTGATCGGGGCGTGTTTTTCCCGAGATGATCTACAGTCTGCATACGGTAGGTGAGCTGAAAATAGCCCATGATCCGTCCCGGTATACAATTTTTCAACATACCTCACGTGAAGCATTGGCGCATAAACTAAAAGCACAGACCGCGCCACCGCTTACGAACGCCATACTTGTGGCCGAGGCTCGTTTCGTGTTACCGCAGCAGAGGTACCACGGTCACTATATAGGTTTTTGTGTAGGGCTTCTTGACTGAGCACCTGTGCTTTCATGGCCAGGTTGTCAGGCTTTTGAGTTCTTGAGGCTCATGTTTCGAAGGGCGCAACAAGCCGACCGGGTCGGGGTGTGTGAGCCTTCTTAGTAGGAAGCAAGCATAATTTCACAGAAAGACTTCATTTTATCGTTTGCATCTACCCGGTGCTACCCGGCTGAACAACGAAAAGACGTCAGTCTCAGTACGGTAAAAAACACACAACTTTTTAAGGGCCATGAACTTAAAATGACCCTTTGAGGGGGCGGCATGGGGGAGGCTATGTTATTCTCCGGATCAAAGACTGAAACGGCAGCACCGTCGATGAAGGCTGCTGCTACCTTGCACTCTGGTCCGTTTTGGAGTGCTTTCGCCGTCATCCTTCCTTCCAACTCCATCGTTCTCACTACTGAACATGTGTGTTGTGTGTTTTCCTATCTGCTCGGGGTATCCGGTAGTTGATGCTTTGTTGATAAAAAAACAAGAAAGAGCCGACCCTTCTGGCGTTGAAGCATGTACAGCGGTCCCACGCTGCATATGATTCAGGTTTTGAGAGGGAGTAACCAACCATCTAGTCAAGATGCACCCACCAAGGACGTGGAGGGCACGACAGTCAGAAAGTGATATCTTCGGGGCATGAAGAATAATTGCCTAGCCGAATATGGGAACATGCGCTACCCATGCTGTACGGCTGTTGCTGTCGCGGAACACATTCTCCATCAATTCATGTCGCGGAACACGTTCTCTGTTTCTTCCTTGTACAGTCGACCCCGCTTTAAGGAAACCAAAATTAAGGAAACTCCCCGGGTAAAGGAAACATTTTTTCGCCGATAAACAATACCCCGCAGAATGTAAAATATACGGGGGGTTCATATTCTACTCCGCGGACCCCCTTAAAGCACGTTTTTAGCGTACCCTCTTCGCCAGCAGAGAGGTCTGCTGCTTCACCTGCTGTCTGCGGTATGCAAAGATTCGTTTCACCTACCGGTGGGTCCTCTGCACCTGGGTTAAAACGGTGTGGGGAACCAACGTGCACGATCACGAAGCTCGTGTCGGGTATCCACACATGCCCGTGCGGTCGATGGATGCACGCGTTATGTGGTCGCGGCATCGGGAAGGAAGGACACGCGGCTCGCTGGAATGGACAACGGGAAGGGGGGGAGGTGGGGGACAAGAGGGGGGACACGGGCGAAAGGGGACTCATCGACGGCCTTTGCGACTTGGTCGCGAAGCTGTCGATGCCAGACAGCGTCGACGTCACCGACGCCAGAAAAATTCCAGGGGTGTTGACGGACAATTTGTTTGTCGAGAAGAACTCGGGCCTCACTGATGTAGTAGTGCGAAAGGCAATTATGACGTGGCTTTCCGTAAAGGATGACCCCAGCGTGTTGGAAGACGAGGTAGCGCTGGAACTCGAGATTGTGGAGCAGAACATGGCAAACTTGGAGGTTGATGCCTCTTCTGACGACGAAGATAGCGGGGATAGGCCAGCCTCGTGTACTACATCTTCGATGACAGGCTCAGGTCCACGCTAGCTTAGAGAGTGTTCGCTCCTACTTGTACGCCAATGGAAAGGATGGCGAATACCGCAAAACGCAGCACCTCCTTTCGAAAACGGTGCATTCGTTCACGCATGAAACGCAAGTCAAGCGCAGGTCCAAGGAGGGGGGGGATCTGCAGGCAACTCTTCGCGATATGTGGAGGACGTCGAAGCGTTGAGTGTTTGCGGTTTGTCGGCCATACGCCGTATTGTGTGCTTGTGTCTAAATGGCGCTCCAGTAGAGAGTAACGCAGGAGAGTTTCTGCGTGCGCTCCCCCAGGGGTAAACAAAAGTCACCAGGTGAATTTGAAGTGTCCATCAGGTATTTTCCGTGCTGTGTGGTGGTGTTCAGCAATAAGCAATTATTTTCTCGCCGACTCCCAGCCTCTTTTTTTATTCCAACAATGACCTGCCCAGGGCGCACCTTTTGACGTTTTTTTTTTTTTTTGTGCTCCCATCATTGGACTCTGTCCTCTGCCCCTCTGGCCCCTATCCTCCACTTCTACTAGCTAGACGACCCAACCGGGGTCACATAGGAGAGGGGGGCTGGACCCCCTCCTGCGGTTCCTGCCTAAGGTATTTTTATAGCGAGAAGGGTACAGCAATCCCTTCCCTCGCGACTTACGAAGTTGATTATGGTTTACTAACGACGAGCTTTGCAGCGCGTCGCTTTCGTCCTAGACCAGGATTTATTTAGTGAGAAACAAACTCACTCTGCCTGGACTCGAACCCATGACGTGGCCCTTAGCAGGCTGCGAGGTTACCCGTTGGACCACCGGGGCGATCGGTATGTACCGCCACCATTGACCCCGGGGATGGTGCGTTCTGATCCCCTGAAGTGTAAGGAAACTTCCCCGCGTAAAGGAAACATTTTTCGAAGCAAAACCATATGTTTCCTTAAAGCGGGGTCGACTGTATGTTGTTGTTTTTGTCATCACATTAAAAACCCTTCCGATCTCTCTCTACCCAGTACCTTCATATATCCGTACTGATGCAACACTCGACGCGGTCGATTCCCGTGGTCGCAGGCTAACTTACCCCAAAAAGGTACGCTCACATAAAATGGCCCCGAGGGGTTCGCAAGTCAATAGAAATCAACCACAGACATTCATTCTGGAGTCCTCCACTCCCTCTGCGCGCTATGCGAGGTAACAACTGAGACTAGGAGTCACCATCACGGGCCGGAGAGAATCAGGTACACCCCCGTGTTTGCATACTGATTGTAGTGTTGACTGCTGTAGGCAGTAGTAATAACGTGTATTATTGCTTGCGCGGTAAACTTAAACCCACCCAATGTGATGGGTGGATATCGCCTTCACGCAAAGGGCACAATCTCTCCCTCGTCTGCGGAGGACGATCCTCCCTCTCTGCACGGTGGCGGCCGACGAAAGCGATGTTATCTGCTTCTGGTGGAAGAGAAAACGACTTCAAACCCCGCCACCTGCCTTGTGGTGGAGACCGTTGCACTTTCAAATTCATATGATACCCACATCGGAACACACAATAAAGAAGGAAGAGGAACCCGCGGACGCGGGCGACTCCTGTTGCCAAACTTCAAGGATCTTGCAAAACTTTAAGCGCTGTCTAACTTCAGTCACTATTCTGCCCAGTGAGTGGGCTGTTGGGGTGCGATGATGCTCTGGTATCATCCCTGCAACAAGGATCCATCAAGCGAAGAACGAACAGCAGTTTGTTTTTGGTCGAGGTTCTGAGTTGCGGTGGTGCACCTTGCTTCCAAAATTCCAAATTAGCTCAAAAATGAAGAACATGGTTGTTGATTTGCTTCGTGGGACAAACTACAGCAAACAGGGCACCAGCAACAATACGTATCCCATGCAGTTGCCGCCCGCAGTTAAGAAACATTTTCTTAAGAAATTGAGGCTCACTTCTTCACGAAAAAGAAGAAAATAGGGTTAAGAAACATAGCTCAATCTGGGTCACACAGCAGTAAGAAATGTCTCAATAAGGAACACAGCGGCGACCGCTGCCCTACTACATAAGAAACGAGGGTTTACGGGGGAGTGTGTCGAATAAGAAACAAACCCCACAGCTCTCTCGCTCTTTCCCCCTCTCCCCCGGCCGCCCCCTCCCATAGTGCACTATTATTACTAGTTGTACGACGAGGGGGGGGTGTTTTTTTTTTGCGGCGCCCCCTCCGGCCCCCTGCGGGCTCTGCCACGCTCTCTGCTGGCGCTAAAGCTTTGGCACAGCACACCAGACAGGCTGCGAACCACGACATGCTGTCTGCTGTACACGGCTTTGATGGTTCTTTCCGCCAGCTCTCGTGAGGGCTTGACCAAGCTGGTCACCCTCAGAGATCAACAAGAACTGTCGACGAGCCAGCTCGGGGACATCAAGAAGCACCTTCTTAACAACGAGCCTCTGTCTCACGATTTCTGGAAAGGCATTGAAGAGCTGCGGAGTTTTGGGTCTTCCGATATCCTTACTTTGGAGGAGCATGTGCAGCATCTCAACGAACATGTGGCGTCCCACCTTAAGAAAAAGAAACCGGTGCCAACCCCTCTTGAATCGGCTGCTGGTTCAAGCGCATAGCAGTTCGAAAGGCAGAACCGAAAGGCATCATCGTCTTCAACAATATCAGCCAAGAAAAAGGGGAGGGCAGCATCCAACCCGCCGGCAGGAACCCACAACATCATCAATGCCTTCATTAAAGGCAGTGGCAAACCGGTGCGTAGAATATGTTTGTGTGTGCCGACGAGAGGGTCTCGCGCGATACTTGAAAATAAATCAGCGCCACCGAGATGCGGACAGACCAGTTTTGTTTTTCTAATGTTTTTTGGTTTTCTTTTGGTGTCCAAAATACACATTTGCGTCTACATGTATGTATTGTTGGCATCGAATGCTCTGTGTTGTGAGTGTCTCTTTCGGTTTGCGTGAGTCCTTCTGCTATTCTTTGTCTTCGATTTGCGTCATACCGGTGCTGCTGTGAACCACGTGAATGATCCCAAGAATTAATATTATTGTTGAATTGCCGCATAAAAAAGTATACGTACTCATTGGCAAGAACATGTCTGTAGCAGAAAGTCGCCAGCGTGCCTCCGCACCAGGTTTGCCTCTTTTTTTGTCAACCCTTTCCGACATGCGTCTTCTTACATGCTGCTGTGCTGGCCTTACTCGCGGCAGCACTCTTTATTGAACGAGCTTATGTTGATATCTTTCAAACAACAAATAATAAACTCAAGCAGGAATGAACAATACCACCGCCCTCCCTCCCCCATTTCCGTGCAGGTGGTGCGTACGCGTGGGGACGGCAGCACGGAGGAGATCACGAAACTCAATTTCGCCGCAGGAGGCCAAAGCACTGACGTGTTCCGAACGTCGCGTGTTTCTTACAAGTTGGGTGGCACAGGCGACCGAGGAGATGGATAAAGATGAGCAATACCGGTTCCGTCTCTTCGAGAAAACCGAATGTGGAATGACGGCGGATGGCTCTGGGGACGACAAAATCAACCTCGAGGGCCTTTCCACATATTCCTTCATGGATGTGGAGGGTGGCGCCAGCGCTGATGAGGAGGGCAAGGAGGATGGGGACACCGGCAAGGTTGACGTGGACCAGCCGTCGGAGGACGCCTCTTCCAAAGATGATGAGAGCGACCGTAAGTGATATTGTATTTCGCGTTCATTCGGAGCACAGAAGAATTACCCTTGCGGAAGAAAGCTCCTCTTGTTGACACATTGATGAGTGTTGGAATATTGTCCCCGCTTCGGGAATCGCCACAACAATAGACGATGCTTCCGCTGTGCCTTGTCAGGGGACGATGACAACGATAAGGACCCGCTGACCCAGCTCGACGACGATGATGAATTGTCGCCTGAGGAAGAAACGCTGAAGATGGACATCCCGGACGGGTTTCGACTCCAAGCGTCTCCACCACCGGCCTTCGATCAGTCGATAGTGAAGCGTGGGGTTCTCGTAAAACTCGGGTTGGGTTGGTTTGGAAATCTCACCCCGCTTCGCGGCAGGAGTGCGACTACCGCGTCATCCTGCACTGTGATGAAAGGACGCGGAGCATGAAGATGCCGTTGGAGTCGTACAGCACGGATGAAGCCGCCGCATTATTGGGGCGTGGGTTCTCCTAGAGGTAGACCCAAAGGAAGGGAGCGGGAGGCGCACACGGGTGACAACCCCCAATGTTCGCCTCACGGAGCTTGCAACATCTGACGGGGTAGTGTTCGTTGTTGGCACGTCAGCGTGCGGGTGAGGCATCATGCGGTGTTTATGCATTTGTTTAGTTTCAGCCCTCACTCATGAGGGGGGTACAGGACCTTGTAGCGATAGCGAGACGTTGCCGCTGGATACATTTCGATTCTAGGGAGTGGCCTTACGTGCAGCCGTCGGTAGTGAGAATCGGGGTTGAGTACGGGGGTCGAGGAAAGCAGTGCAAATAATTTGTATATTTGGAACGTTGTGTAGTATGCAAGCAGAGAAATACGAAATTGCCGATTTATGAATTCAGCAGGATTTGGCTGCACGAAAAAATAAGAAACTTGAAATAAGAAACTGAACGACACACGCTGAGAGCTGTTTTTTCGCGATTTCTCCGCCCCTAGACATCGTTTCGCCACGAAACTTGCGTGTGGCCGCAGGCTTGAGATGCGAGGGCCCTGTCCGTGTGCGGTTTGGGATCAGCACGCCCGCGGCGCCGCGGCAGCGAGGGCGCAAAGTCGCGTCTCAAAGTCTACGTAAGGTCGACACCGGGCTCTTTAGTTCAAAAAGACGGACCAGTCTGTTCCTGTCGCTGTGTCGCTTTGCGGGTCTATTGGTGCCGAAGAGTTCGTTCTTTCCGATTTTTTGCTAGGCCTGTCCTCCATCGGCCGTTTTATTTTCGATTTAGATACACCCAGTTTACTTCTATACTAATTTCAAGTAATTCCACCTTCTTATTCTCCGTCATACAAGCAAAACGGCCGATGGAGGACAGGCCTTAACATGATCATGAGAGGTGTGTGCGTCTATCCCATCTACGCTCAACAGCAGTGTAATCACAGAGTTGAACCCGGCATGCGAAAACGTTTGGGTGGCGGCAGAGATGCGCGTGATTTGAGCACCTGTTTCGCGGGCGACAGCGGATGAACTTTGGCGTAGCCACAAAGGTTTGCAGCCATCTTTGCGGCAGAACTTTCGTTTATGTATGGCTCGAACAGTTCGGGTTATCATTATTTCGCATTTGTCGTTCAAACATAACGACTAAATACCAGAGGTGTGTGCGCTTCTCGTCTACGCAAACAGCAGTGTAGATCACAAACTTCAACCCGGCATGAACGCTGCGGCGGCGGGGAAAATACGGGTGTTTTGATGGCAGAAAACTTCCGCTGTGGATGACTTCGCGGGGGATTTTGCGGGCCATTTCCTGGCACCTGTTTTTTTTTTGCGCGAAGGGCGCACGCCCGCGCTCCCGCCACCATCAACATCGCCACCAACCACCATGTCTAGCTTCTTCGACGACAACTCCCCTTCCAAGGAAGCCAAGCCCGGACAGACCTCTCACGGTGCCGCCTCCCCCGACGGCTTTAAGATTGTCGGTGAGGTTTTCCCTGGTCGGCTGTGCCCGGAGGACAACAAGGACCTCCTGAAACGCTACACCAACGGTCGCCTCTTCGTCGTCTGCCTCGGCAACATCAAGGACGACCCCTCCACCTGCCAGTTCACCGCGAACTGTTTCGGAAAAGACCGCGTCAAGCCCGGCGAGGAGTCGAAGATCGCCTGCACCGTCTGCACGGTGCCGGTCGAGCACACCCTCTCGCTCGGCAGGAGCACTGGCCGCACGGATCCCGTGACGCGAAAACTGAGTGAGTCTGTCTGTTTGTTTTTTTGGATGCCCGCTTTGCCATCGTCTTAGTATACCGCGTCAAATAAACCTAGTTATTGCGTGACTCTGCTGTGCTAGATTTTTCATCTTTAACCATGTCCCGTGTGTTCTCTTCTTCTTGCCCTTTCCCCGTTTACTTTCCTCATCAGTCTACCAGAACGTCCACGTCTACTTTTGACACCTGCTGGGGAAAGAGAGCCTTCGATCCCAAGACGAACAAGGAAGTGCTGTCTCACTTCACAACCGCCCCCGCTTCCCTCGTCGGGGTAAGAGTGTTCCCGTTGCAAGTCGTCGGTGTTTTTTATTCGCTTATTGTTAACTATACATCCAATTCTTCGTATGACTTACTTCGTTTTCACCATGGTCCTGCTGATATTTTCTTTTCTTTTTTTATGATGTTGGGGTCACAACACAGCACCAAGTCACCGGCACCATGCTTTTCTTCCTTTTTTTTGCCACCCCCTACAACCTGGTCCGGTGAGAACCCGGCGTGCTCCGTCCCAGCTTTGTAGGGATGCGAGATCAATGGTCTAACGACTACGACATGCACGATTATGAGTACCCCCCCCCCCCCACCCCCCTACAACCTTTCTTCCATCGTCCTGCTGATTTTTTCTTTGTTGCTGGTCCCCCCATGGTAGTAAGAGATGTAAATTGAGAGAGGTTGTTTCTGTCAAACAGGATGTTCCTGTTGTCCAAATGGTGGCGAAATGGACGTTTCCTGTTCCAAGTTGTCGAGGTTTCAGAAAATGCGAATTACCTCAAAATGAGGTAACGCTGGCAATACACTCTTGTCCCGGCGTACGTAGCCTTGTACGTGTTTTTTCCACGAGTCCGGCACGATGCACGCAGCTCGAGTCACCTCCACACGAAAGACACATCAGTTTTTGTTGCAGCCACCTCGAGTTCTTCACCCGAGTGGTGGTGGCGCCGTATTCGTTCGTTTGTCTTACACCAACTTTCATTTTTTTTTTTCGCCCAATAAGTTAGCCTGTGACCACGAAAATCGCTCGGTCAAGTGTTTGATGAGCACGGACACCTGAAGGTGCTGGGCGGGGAGATCGGAACGTTTTTTTTGTGAAGGCAACAACGACAACAACATCAACAACAACAACAGTCTCACATTTTTTTTTTGTTTTTCGTCCAGGCCGGGGACATCCCTAAGGCGACCGCCACCATCGAAGAAGGTCTCAAGTCCGTGCCGAAGTCGGATGCTCTCCTTACCCTCAAGGTATGGTGCTTTGTGTGTTCGTCCCCACCTGCAGTAGGTTGCTTACCGGTCAACAGCTGTGGTTTCGCGTTCATGGGAAGAAGGCAGACTTTCTGCCCACGAGCTTTGCTAACAGGTGGCCTGGAATCTGCACCAATGTCGGAGTCGCGGTAGATCTTTCAGCCGCGCCGTACTTTCGTAGCCCTCAAGTTTGTAGACGGTGGCGGAAAGCTGCAGTAGATACTATCGGCCTTGGAGGCTTTGTAGTCTACGTGAGTATTCTTGCCGTTCCTACACTTTGGTTTCGTGCAGCAAATTCCCGCTGCCCGTCAACACATGTGCCCAATGTGCCAATGAACAATCTCTACATGTGTTGACGGGCAGCGGGAATTCGCTGCACGAAACCCAAGTTAAGGAAAGGCAAGATTAAAAAGAATTCACATCCAGACTAACATCTTCTTTGGTTAAATTAAATACGTACGGCAAGTCTACGCTACCGCCCACAATCTTGGGGCTACCGAAAAACCAAGTATCAAAGAGTAGAGCTGTAAGTTCGAACATTATTTCGAGTAAATGCGATTTGTGCGCCTGGGCAAGAGACTGAGATTTTGGTGCCTATGCCAGGCCGCCTGCTATTGTTGCTCGTGATCCCGATGTGCTGTTGCTGCTGTCTTCATCCCGCGCACCGTGGAGGCCGCAGCTGTTTGACATACGTAAAGACACTCGACTGCTGTGCAGAAGAGTTGACGGGTGGCCTGGCATCTGAACAACATCTCGGCCTCGTGCTCCTGGCGCAAATATCGCCTTTCCGTCGACGGTACACCAGATCTTTCAGCCGCCATCATTATTTCGTTTTCACCATAGCCCCACGTTCGTTGACGGTGGCGAAAAGCTGCAGCAAAGACAATGGCGATGTTACCGAAAATGGTAGCCCATTGTTTCTCACATTTTCGAGTGTTTCGTCGAGTCGTGGACCAAAACCCTCTTCTTTCATGCGGCGTATGCCTACTTCGATTCCTCCCCGCCCCCTTTTTCCTTCGCAGGCGGAACTGAAGTACTCGATGGCGATGAAAGCCGGCGACGCTTCCTCCTGCGGTGCAATCCTGGAGCTGTTCGACGCCGCCATCCGCGCCAATCCCAGCAGCCCGGTGTTGTACCTCAACAAGGCCTCCTGCCTGCTGCAGGTGAGGGGTTCTCCGGATGGTGGTGGCGGTAATGTTCTTCCTTCCCGATGTTTTGCTTTTGATCAATTTTGATGGTGCTGGCCGTCACTCAGGATATCTGCACGTCGTGTTCCTTTTTTTTTGTTTTTCTTAATATGACATGACGATTCCATCCCTATCCCAGAAAGAGTACCATTGGCTGGCAATGAACTCGTAGCGTCAGGGGATTTTTGCACCTTTTTTTTTGCTCTTCGGCTACTAAACCTGTTGCGTTGGAGAACCGTACCCACCAACCATTCGCTTGAGGATTTCGTCCTGTACTCCCGATGAACCTTTTTTTTTTTTTTCTTGAGATGACTGACTGCACCATCTTCCTTTTTTTTCTCGCTCGTGTGGGGCCTGACTGAGCGAGTGGTGGGTGTTCTGGGTCCTAGCACATGCCAGTAGGTGCATCGGTTGTGCTCTTGGAGCCCCTTTAGTACGTCTTGTCTGATATGTGTCACACCAATCGTGCGTCAGTGCTGTTTCAGAACTTGAACGTGTAGCCGATGCCAACATCGGGAATGAGTGATGACTGCTGTGTCTACATTCCTCCGCGCTTGTTATTCGACCATGCTCTCTCTGCACGAATACGTTCGCGGATTCAGCACATCGCGTGCGTGGGCAGTTACAAGGCGGGCGTCTTTGCAAATGCTGCGCGCGCCCGGCGCTTACGTCTGCTCACTTGTATGCTTGCTGTGCCCTCCGCCCCAAAGATGATGAGCGACGTGGGTGGGGCGATGGAATTGCTCGAGAAGGGGGTCAGCGTCGACCCTACCAGCGTGGTAAGAGTCTGATTGGCGAATATGGGAGTGCTTGTGTGTCTTGCAGACGTGCATTTTAACTGTTCGGTATGTTTTTGGGAGCACCAGCTGTAGTCACCCAGGAGTAAGATAGCACATACTTCCTCTGATCCACCAGATAAGCTCGATTGGAGTCAAAGTTGAATATCTCTTCCTACTGTGCGACTTTTTCTGAACGGTTTTTTTCCTTGCTTTCCTAAGAGTCTGGAGCTGAGCTCAATACCGAGGTCTTTTCTCATTCCTCACAAAAAGAACACCAACCCCGACGGTAAACCGAGGGTAGTCGCCGTGAAAATCGGAGAAACTCCGGTTGACCGCCTTCCCTTCATTTTTTTTTTAAACGGTTTTTTTGTTGGTTCTCGTGGCGTTTCGAAGAATCGCTCAAAACCGCTGTTTTTTAATTTTTGGTAAGCACAGCCTTATTTGGCGCCACAACAGCTAGCCCACGCAAGGGCAGTGGTCACCGCTAGGTTGCCGTTTGGGTAGTTTTGTTTGCACATTACGGCTTGGGTATGGGTTGATATTCGTCTGTTCTGTGGATAAGAGCTGCTTTAAATAACAATGCGGTGTCCTCTTAAGAGGAGCTTAGNTAAAATTTTGGTAAGCACAGCCTTATTTGGCGCCACAACAGCTAGCCCACGCAAGGGCAGTGGTCACCGCTAGGTTGCCGTTTGGGTAGTTTTGTTTGCACATTACGGCTTGGGTATGGGTTGATATTCGTCTGTTCTGTGGATAAGAGCTGCTTTAAATAACAATGCGGTGTCCTCTTAAGAGGAGCTTAGTGTGCTGCTTTGCTGCATCTTACCTCTACCATACCTCACCGTCAAAATACACTCTAGGTGGCGCAAAACACTTGTCCGGCAGTCAAAAGCGCGATATAGTAGTGTTTTGCGCCCCAAACACTCGGCTGTTTCGTTCTACACTTTCAATTCAAAATTTGCGCTTCATTTCGGCACTAATGAACTTCATTTTCCACGAAGTTCATCACATGAGCCCGATTTCGTCGAGGCTACCGCCCCCCCGGGGACCATATATTTTGCTGTCCCCGGGTTCTATCGGTTTTTTTTTTCGAAAACGATGCCCAAAGGGTTGAGAGAGCATTGGGGCGGTCTGACGGTCGGAACGAGCGTAGTTGCACTCCCTGCAATGCACATTATGCCGAATTTGGCGATGCTTCGTGACGCCGCCGCCGAAAAATCCACCAGATAAGCTCGATTTGGGGCAGATTCAACCAAGGGGACGGTACGATGTTGTCCCCTGGCCAAAACTCGTTTTTTTTTTTTTGACATGAAGGAAAACATATGTGCAACACATCACGCAGGTCCACTAGTAAAAAATACTCACCATCCCACAATATCGGGCTCTTTTCAAATCGAGCTTATCTGGTGGATTATTCCAATCGAGCTTATCTGGTGGATCAGGGTAGTAGCTTTTTTGTTTTGTTCTTCACAGCCATGGCCCCAGTTGATAAACAATGTTTTTTTCTAAGTCATCCTGGACTCTCCATGTGTGGATATTGGTCGAGATGAAACTTTTTTTTGGTCAGAAGAGCAAAAAACGACCAGTGCGAAACAAATGTGAAATCAACCAGGCGCGCATCTTCTCCGAAGGTTCAAGATGCCACAATGCTCCCCCCCCCCTATGCATAATGCAGCCGTGAGGGCAGAATTGGGGATCCAATCCCTACGGTCGGGAAGAGA